CACAAAATCTCCCCTAGCCAAATTGATATTCCAAATAGCTATGGCCATTCGGAATGAAAACATAGATAAACACAGTAAATTGAAGTTTCTGATTACGTAAGAATTTCCAATAACAATCAATTACCTGTCCAAGCACAGGGGAAAACCATAAAACATGCCCATCCTTGAAAATAATTTTGTGCCAAGCGATCAAACATTAAACTGATAAATATCAAAATATTTATTCCAAAACTAATAACGGTGATTCCAATGAACGATAACCAAAATTTGGTGTTATCAGCTATTGCCCCATTTATTGTTCCCGCGAAGGCCAATGTTGTTCCAATACTGTTGGCCAAGTAAAAAGGTATACACCATGACCGCTTTACATTTCTAAAGTAATACACCGCCAAAGGAAACCACAACAAAGCACATACTGATATCGTTTGAAAGCCTGGACCAAAGAAGGTTAAAATTGGTAATAATGGTAAGAGGAAATAGACTCGCGAACTACGGAAGTTCATTATTCTCGACGTAAACATGTTGAGGAAAAACATTTCTCGACCATCAAATGTATTGACTTTATAATGATTTTAAGGTGTCTAATTGACTTGGAGAGATGCTTGTGTTTTGTTAATACTAATGCAGTAAATAATTGATAATCATATAATACGTGTAAAATTGATTAATAATCATTTTATTTATAATAACAAAACCTGGTCTACAAATTTGGTAATGTCGATATTAGCCGAAATACCTAATATAAAGAGTCCAGTTGGGATTTCATCAATTCGTTTGCGTATAATTACAACCTAAAGCTCTTCTGTCATTTAGAACAAGTTCAATTACAGGATGTTTCTTTATGTCATCATGTCAAGTTCCACATTGAAGAGTCCACATGGTTCAACGTGTGTGTCGCAAATAGGCGTCAGCCACCTTTTCCTGTTAAAGGCGTACATTATATTGGAACTTTCCATGGATCTTCAATCGAGACGATAAACCGCACTTTATAATGTCACCAGTACACAGAGACAGGTGCAAAATAAAAGCATGGCGGAACATGCCATCTCGAAGTTTTAATTGTGCACAGTACGTGTTATTGCAATTAGTTGATTATGTTCATTAGTCGACATTTATCCAACATTTGTCATCACCTATACTATACATTTCACATTATAGCCATTTTTCGTTCTAGCGAAACTGCGATGCGATGTTTCTTGACGCAAATCTGATTTAAATAAAATTTATTTGAAAAGATTATAAATGTGTAATCTATGCTTTATATGATATGGAATGAATTAATGTCCGGTTAATTTTACATGAGAATTGGGATTCCTAAGGGAATGACAGTAAGAGTAATTTAATATCACTGTCATATTTGTCACATGCGGTTTCATTTTTCTTATTATCGGTGACTTTGCAAAATTCCCCGACAAAACTAGATTCAAACCCTTGTATAGTATCCTTGAAGTTATCGGTGACGTGATCAACATAGGATTCCAAATCACTTCCGCTCAATCCTTCATTGCTAGCGACCTTCCCAATTGCAGCCGAAATGGAATTCAAAAAGTCATCTGAACTTACTACCTTCGAAAAGGAATTGTCAATATCGCTCACAATTCTTGGTTTTACGATCGTGCTCATGAAATGACATATGGCCGGAGGATTTCCACAGATGTAATCTTGCTTTTCACAGTCAGAAAGGGTCCAATTGACGCCTGCGGGCGGTTGTGTTACTCTCAGCGGATTCTGACATTGACCCTTGAATTGAGGTTTTTCATTGAAGATTGAATTTTTTACCAAATCAGTCAAGCCACTTTCAAAACTTTTCCCCTGATCAGTGACGGCCGTAACAATGGCATCTATGGTTTCCTTCTTTAACGTTGTATGGGCTTTAAATCCATCGAATAGGGAAGAAGAATTTTTGAGGTCGGCTATGTAATTTGAATAGATTTTGTCTATTTCTATCGAATAGGCGTCAGAGAAGGCCTTACTGATGCCGTTTTGACAACTAGCCTCACAAGCTTTCACGGGAGTTGTCGTGAGCAGTAAGGTCGAAAAAGCAAAGATAATGGCGAGAATTATGAGTTTCATTTTGAATCGCGGGGAGATGGTGTGAAATTCAAAAGAAAAAAAAGGGAAAGGAACATCGCATCAAGGAAATCAATGGTGCATCCCTTTATAGTATTCGGGGAATAGGCACATCCTTTGCAAAAAAACGCGTACTAATTTATCTCAAACATCATTTCACTTGGATCAACGCATATATACACATATGATACTAAATCTTGCGTTGCAACGATCTTCGTCGAAAGCGTATAAGCACAGTTTCTGCTATTTAATAATTTATCGTGAAATGTAACGGCTAATTTTCGTATGATACAAACGAACATTAAATATAGCCGTCAACTAGTACCGTACCAATCTAGATGATATACAAGGCGGCGCACGTACAAATGTGCGACACACCATGAATAGAAGCTCCTACATTTTTCTTTCTTTCTTTCTTTTTTTTTAATAGAAAAGAACGATTCAATTTACTATGAGACAACTGTTCACGATGATGTTGGTTTGCCGGCTGGCTCCTTAATTTAAATTTAAAACCTCGAATCATGTGATTTTTATATTCTGAATATGGTTAGGTGCATGAAATTCCGAATCTTGACCATACCAGAATTTCGTATAACTACCATACGGGGGATTTCATACATTTACCATATTAAATTGGTAGTGTATGGCACCTATTAAAATTTGCTCATAAGTACGTCCGCACCTTTCACTTCTTTCTTTCACACCACTAACCGTATCCTCATTCATACTCTTCGATAATCGATAGTTCATCTTCTGTTAAAAATAATTCTACGTTGGGAACCGCAATAAATTTTACCCGCAGTGCATCGTGACCATTTTATTTATAATCAAACAAAACCAATTGTACAGTATGTGAAAATTTAAAAATAACTATAAATTAAGTTCAGAAATACGTAATCGACATAACATGGCCATCCCTTGCGCACAAAAACAGTATTTCCTTATTTGGAAAAAACATCAGACGAGAACATATTGACAACCGAAACCCGAATTGCAGTAATACAAAAATCTTCTTCTTGCAAAGTACATTGGGACAAAAGGTCGTCTCACAAATAACATTCTACGGTATGGCATGTAGACTCTCCCACCATATCTAAAATATCTAAACCTAGTAAATCGCATGAAAGAAGCGTCTACGTCACCCGACTCGTTCAACTCATTCGACTCGTCTGTGCCCAACGAGTCGAAAGCGCCGGGAAGGAACTGAACTTTGATCAAGCCACTATCTCTCAACGTATTTTCATCACTTAAGGTTGAATCTTCACTTGATGGCTTTGGCGTTCCATCGGTATTCTTCGGTGCGTATTCGTAGAGGTAACCTTTCTCCGGGAGATCATGGTAAGAAATTTCTTTGATCGTGTATCCATTGCCAGGCGGAGTCTTGGTATCTCCGAGGCTATATGAGGTACAGAGAGTCAGAAGCAAGAGCACAAGTATGCAATGAGTGGCGAAGGTTTTTCGTGTCATTTTGTTTTAGTTAGGGTTTGAGGGAGGGGAATAATGTGGTGTGGGTGTCCGTTTTATAACTTTCCCAAGTTCATCGATTTTTAATTACATAAGAGAAAGCCTTATTTTATCATTGATATCGTCAGAATTGACTTTAATTATCGCTGACCTGAAAATTTTGACTATAATTCGACCACTTCATCTATCCTCGCGGCTTCACACTCGTAACGCGCTCTTGCCGTGCGCAAATGATGATATATTTCGTACTTTAAGACAACGCGCGTCACTGTATTAGGCGTTGCGTGATCCGAGCTAATCGCATAAAATTGAGGCCGTAGAAGCTTATCATATTTGTCAAATTAAAAGGTGCACGATAGCACATACAATCTAAATATTGCATTGTGCATGCGCCTATATTTAGGATATGTCGATATATTTAGATCCCCGCTTGTCTAACAATTATTATGATCGTTCGACCAACAATGCCCAATTTGGCAA